GCACTCTGCCAAGTTCCCTGGTCAGACTATACCACTGTCTTGGTTCTGCAGATGAACATAGATGCTGTTGTGACTTCTCCTTGGGTGCTATAAGTAAGATCTTGGTCTGCCAAGATCCAAGTGCTGGTTGTTGCAAGTCTCTCCTACTGTCACAATCTAATTTCCAGTGGTCAAGCCCTGCAGATTCCCCTGAGATCCCCTTGGGGCAAGACTGGAGTGAGACCCCCAAGAAGGAACTCACAATGGTAGGGGAGCTGGATGTCCACCCATTGGAGAAACCATAGGCTTAGATACTTCTTGGTGTCATGCTGTGCTGATCTGGGGGAGAGGCAGTGTGGTCAGTGTAGCCGCTCCTTTTACCCTTGTAATGTGGTCTGTCTCAGTCTCCTTGGTCCAGGGGGATGCTTCAGTCTCAGCCCTGTGTTCTAGGATTTCTCACTGGTGTCTGTGTATAGTTGTTAGTTGTTCTTGTGAGGGGGTGTGAAGTTGGGAATGATCTGTGTCACCAACTTAGTGATGCCACTCTTCAATCTGTGTTGCTTTAAGCCGGTAAGTTTGTAGTAATTTGTTATAGCACTAATAGGACACTAACACATGCATCATGATAAGTTACCAAATACATCACTTCTTTCAAAGTCTATCCATGATTGGTCACTGCACATCTGTCATTGATTTTAGGCACAGACAGTAAAACATATAGCAGCACTGACTCTTGGTCTCCCAGTGTTAAATTCATGTGACATTTTACAAAAATGAGTAATCAAAAGAGGAAATTGGCTAATAAAGATGCAAGTGCACCAGAGAAATGAAAAAATGACAACACTAGAAGTGAAATTCAAATCGAACAGAGTTATAGAAGAAATAGCTGACTAGAAATATTGTTACTGATGCTATCCAAGGTACTCTAGATGTGCAACATAAAAAATTTAGTGAAAGCAAAATTATCAATATAAATGAGGAAAATGGTTGTGACAAAAAGGATGAAATGTCCTAGAGGAAATGATGAAAGCAAAAAACATCATTATTTGTTAACCCATAAATTTACTGTGATTTCATTGAAAGTCTCAAGAGGACTTTTTTTTTAGATAGGTGATATTCTGAAACTTACCTAGAGAAATAAGATCAATACTTACCAAACTTGAAAAGGATCAAAGATATCTATCAGATATTAGGACAGATTATAAAGATAAAGTAATTTAATATTTGATATGGACACAGTAATAGACAATTACTGGGGCAGACTGAAGAATTTACAAAACAGACATTATGTATATAGAAAATTAAGATGTCATTTCAAATTAGATGTCATTAAAAAAAAGGGGGCATAGTGATATGTTACCCATTTCTTAAAATATCAAGTTAGATCTCTATTTCAAAACTCCAGATGGATTAAAAGCCTAAATGTAAAAATAAAGCTATAAAATTAAAGAGGTTATGAGTTATTATTTTATAGACATAAAGACCTTTAAATAATGTTTAAAAGTCATAAAGCTAAAAGATTATAAAATTTGATTACATTAAAAGAAAATCCTTAATATGAAAAAGGGATGGCAGACATCTAAGACACAGAACAGTCTAATCCAGGGCATGAGAACCCAAAAGATATCCGGAGCCTAGATGAGGCTGAGTTAGCAAGTGATGACCGCAGGCCCTTCTCCAAACAGGAGAGGAAGCCACACGTTCACTAATTGGGCTTCAGTACAAATCAGTGAAAGGTGTTCAAGTGTGTACACCAGACCAGCCACTACTGTAGAATGAATGATGCAGGACTCACAGGGAAGCACAAGAACCACCACCCCTCTTCCCTTGCCATGAGGTCACATGAGCCTTCCTCCAAACCAGGAAGCCTGTCTTGCAAAAAGGAAAGGGAGAGATTATCTGACTGGCCTTTAGGAAGACTCAAGGAAAAATCAGTTATAGAAAACAAATAGGCTACATTAATTTCCAGGGTTGTAATAAAAATGAATAATAGAGAAGTGACCTATAATAAAGAGTCTGACTCCATTTTTTGCCATTTGCTGACAAGTTTTAAGTCTTACCATCTCTTCTCCTCTGCCCCACATCTGGGTAAGCTGAGAAGCAAGACTTGGTGCTCCCTTCTTTATTGGGCAAACTCCTTCCTGCAAATCCTGGCCCCACCCTCTAACCACATAAAAACCGCCAGCCTGTCTTTTTTCCTTATTCTGTGTAGCTATTTTTGACCAATTTGGGAGCTACGGATCTCCCCAGAAAGCTTTATTTTTCATACACTCTTAGGGTGTGTGTGGTGGATCAGTTTCAACATCCAAACCAAATGTTGGGTAGGCCATCCAGTCTTCTTCTGTAGGGTGGCCACAATAGAACTATTCAGAGAATGTAGTAAAAAATTACAAACAAGTCACAGAAGACAGAGTAAGTGTGTCTAATTAAACATAAAAAGGTATTCAATTTCACTAATCAGGGAAATTCCAAAAAAATAGTAAGATGTCATTTTCACCTTTTAGATTGTGAAAAAAATAAGATTAATATTGAGAATAGGTGAAGATGTAAGGAAACAGTAATTCTTGTATACTGGTGAAGGATAGTTTAATTGGCAACATCTATTTGAGAGGTTTGATTGAGCATGCCCTTTGACTTAATTCCACAATATCTTCTCTAGAGAACTGTTTGCAGATATGCAAAATGCATGTGCAACAATGTTTATTGCAGTCTTATTTATAATATCAAGGGATTGGAAAATATCTGTTTACTAGTAGCGGAATGGTAAAAAATTATGTTTTATGGACACTATGGAATAGTACAAGTAAATTAAAAAGACTGAGTGATATTTATAAATACTGATGATAGAAAGTTACCTAAGACATAATAGGTACATGAATGAGCAAGTTGCAGCATAGAAAAATGTTTGGAAGGAAACAACGAACTAATAACTATGAACAGAAAAGGGTAGGAGGTAACCGAGGGAAACTTTCACTCTATTTTGTCTTATTATTTGGTATGATTATAAATATACATTCATGTATTACTTGTGTAATTAAAACATTTTTAAAAGAAAAAATTTAAATAATGGTTGGCTTCCCAAACCATCTTGAAAAACTACTCTAACCCCATAAAGCAGTTGTCCATTTACTATGAAAGGTAGAAGACAATGTCATTGAAATGCAAGTAATTCGACAAAATTGAAAACGTTTTATTTTTATAATTTTATTTTGAAGTAATTTCAAACCTAAATAAAAGTTTCAAGAATAGTACCAAGAATCCCACTCAGGTGAGTTTTGTGAATTGCTGCAATTATGTTTTTTATAGCAAAAGGGTCAGATCCAAGATCATGTGTTACACGCAGTTGTCATGACTCTCTGGTCTCCTTAAATCTGGAACATCCATCTTTCCTTGACTTTAATGACTTTGATAATTTTAAATACAGGGCAGTCATTTTATAGAATGTCAATTTGATTTTGTCCAATATTTTCTATGGTTAGACCTGGGTTGTGTATTTTTGGCAGAATTATTACAGAGGTGATGCTGTCTTCTTATTATATGCTGTCAGATGACACATGATGTTGATTTATTCCCTTACTGGTAGTGATAACTTAGATCACTTGTTTAAAATCGTGTCTACCAGGTTTCTGTAGTTTACAATTATATCTTATCTTTTTGATTAACAAGTAGTTTTTGTGAAGATACTTTGGGACTATGTAAGTATTCTGTTCCTTCATTCCATTTTAACCCGAGTTTTAGCATTCATTGGTTTATTGCCCCTAATTTCTGTGTGACAAAGAGTAATTTAAAAATTCTATCCACATTTATTGGTAGACATTCTATTGTAAGGACGAGATTTCCCTTCTCCTAATTAATTAACATCAGTGTGGACTCATGGATAGCTATTTTATTCAATTACTATTATTAATTTTGACTCTCAAATTATCCCTGATTTGACCTATGAGGGCCCTTTCAAGCTGGCTTCTGTGTCCTTTTGACACATCTCCATCATTCTTTGAATATTTTATTTTCTGAAATAAAAATATTTTCTAGCCTTGAAACCAGCTATTTCTTGACAATCAAAATCCAAGCTCTAGGTGTGCTTTATGTTCCTGGAGTGGTGTTCCCAGTCCTCTCAGCATTCAGAATTAGGATACATATATGTGAACAACACACACACTTTTGCATCATGGATATGTGTGTGTGTATGTATGTATATACATAAAATTCACAACGATAGTTCCAATTCTAATCCAATATTTACTCTCACATTCCCTTTTATTTGTACTTCTCCAACAGTGAGAAACCTGGATTCTGTATCTTCAAGATATTAGACAGCATTTGGAGGAATAAGCTTAATTGGCTAAGGCTACAGTATAGGTAAATATAAAGAAAGTGCCTGAAGAGGAACTAACTGTGCAGATGAAAGCCAGGAGAGCAATGTCTTTCTGGGGGACTTTTGGAGGTTGTGGGGTTAATGAATGTTCATTATAACCACCAGGAAGTGATAAAAGCCCATAATGGTTTATGTTATTGCCTGAATGGGATTATTTTAACGAAGTCAAGAAGTAAGGTATGAATATTGAGTTTGTAAGTATATCTTAGCCTCAGATTTTTATTCTGCACCCTCACCAAATTTAGTTTTACTTGTAATTCACCAAAGGTCTAATCAATCAGCATCCTCAAAAATTGTAAAATCTTCCATAAAAAAGTTACACAACTCCCCAGTTTGAAATTTGGGGGTGCTTGGGGTGCTACTCTATCCTTTTGGATTAATAAACTCTAGCAAAATCTGTGAGTTTGGAGAACTTGTGTTTAGTATTTTCTTTCTGTTTCTTCTTTCAAACAAATGTGCTGTACATCGCTCCCCTACCCACTTCTCTGCATTTTTAAAACAAGTATACTTTGCAAAACCATGGTTCAAAGTGTTGCAGATGAAAGTCTTCCCTCTGTCCATATTTAATCTTGGCAAAAATGTTTAGTAGTGCATGATATCATAACATAAGAGCATCTATGTACAAACATATACAATTTTATTGATATCTCTACAGACTACAAGAATTTTAAGTATAGTCACAATTGCTGAGTGCAACAGAAAAATAGTAATTTGTCATTTTCTGAAAAGATGCAAAAATTCTGAAGATGAAAGAAAGATACATCAATGATGTCATCTGTTTCTTATTTCCTAGAATAAAACATCACATAATTACTAAAAATTATAGGTTATTAGAGATTTTGATTCTGTGTACACTTGTCTATGACCACCACCTAGTTTATTTTCTGGCTTTGCAGTTGAGAAGCACAGGCCAATACCACAGGGGAGCAGTAAGAGAAGAGAGAACTCTCACGTTTTCTCATTGAGGGTTATTGCCTTGGATAGGCAGACTCTCCCTTTTTGAAGGTGAAAACAGTCTCTCAGGGCACTGGAGGCCAGATCGTGAGTTACAGACATTCTTCTCCCTTTAAACACATGTCCAATAACTAAGAAAAAAATATAAGTGGCCCTGGGAGCTAAGACAACAATCAAAAAGGAACTGCAATTCTTCCTTCTTGCTAAGATCAAGTCCAGTAAAATATACTATAGCAGAACAGGTACCTAGTACCCATGTCTCCTCCAAATGAAGAATGAAAAATAAATTTGGGCCTGATTTAATAAATGATTGTTTTAATTTCCACTATCCAACTACTAACAATTAGTTTTCCACTTAGCTTTACATGCTGTTGAATTTCTTATATTTCTTCTTGTGTCTTGTGATGTCACATGTATAAGACAATCAAAACCTAGATGTTTGAATAGGAATAATGGCCAAGTCACATGGGAGAAAATCACAAAGACAGAATTATTAAAAGTCAATGGGGCATTGCCTGGTCAGAAATTTGCACAGAACCTTTGTTTTGGGTTACAACACAATAATTCTCAATCCAGACAACACTGTATCTTTGCATCTTGCCTTCCATGACTCCTCAGAAGTGGGGCTTGGATACCAGCCGAGGTAGACAAATGTGTCTTCCCTAATTGACCATAAAGCTGTGTTTGTCAGCCCTGGCTGACACTGGAACCACATTGGGGGCTTTCAAAAATAACAATGTTCGGCTCCCACTCCGAGAGATTTTGATATAATTGGAATTGTAAAAGCTCCTTAGGTGATTCTCATGTACAGCCAAGGTTGAGAATCAGTTCCCTACATAACTATATAAATAAAAGCGGCCATCTGTGCCTCTAGTTTCTCATTAAAACCTCTTCCACTTAACTCTGGCTCTCATGTCCCTCCCCACCCCAATCCTCTTGCACCAAATTGGCACTTCCTCTTACTTTGCAAAGTCAGACCTTATCTTCTGCATTTTATCCCTTTAGGACTATGTTATACGCAATTATGTACACTAAACTTGCTACACAACAACCATACTCCCTGTAATGGTGCCATCCAGAATACATGACTTACTGGCAAGTATCTCTGGCACCTGGAGCAGTGTGTATATGAAATAGTATGTAGTCAGTAATGGGGTTGGTGTTACAGAAGACAAAGGTGAGGAAGCTGTGAAGGCTACCACTTTTCTCCTGATGCAAAGAGCAAACCCTGATAGAAATGTCTGAGTCCTTTTGGCATTGCCTCTCAAAGAAAGTAGTCAAGTTATAATGTCTTTCATAGGGTCAGACTGTAATCACATTCTCCTGGGTTATCCCAATGATCCTAAACCAAGGAGAGGATTTTTAGCTTACTTTTCTAGACCTTTTTCATTTTTCCCTTCTGCCAAACATTTTATAACCAAGTATTTAAAAGAGCTCATTTTCATCTTCTTCAACCAACCTTGGGCATAATCTCTCTCTCTTTCTTTCTCTAAGCCCTGGAGAACCCTTAATGCCGATAACAGATAGATGGTACATTTAAAATTGGACACATAGGTCACATAAAAAGGGACTCCAACAATAAATTTTTTCCTTTTATAATCCCTTAAGATCTTTGAGGAATAGAAACCTAGATTCTGATTTATTAACTTGAGAATCACTCCAAGACTATATAAAAGATTTGAAAAATTGTGTTTATGACTAAATTATCAGGAAACATCTCTCTCAGTTCTGTCACTATCCTTCCAAAGTTAGATGATGGCCCCTATGGTGATTGGGGCACTAAGTCTGAGTCTTAAGTGTAGGAAGCAAAGTTGTAAGGGATTAAAATAAATGATAAATCAATCATCCTTCCCTCCAAACACCAAGGTTAATGGATGATTTCATGGTAGGGATTATTAGATTCAAGAAAACAAATACTTCTAGCTTCTTATTGGTGAATAGAGCACAAAGACCCATTTTCCCCTGGGACACTAAGAAGGGTTTATCTCCTGAGGGAGTCATAGGGAGATAAAGTCGACTTGGAGACTGTAGCTTGCAAGCTTATCTTCTGAAGCCACCATAGTAGATATAATGTAATTTTGATGACAAAGACTCAGAGTTATTTTCTCTATCATTGTCCAAGTTACTAGGAGTATTTTTCTTATGTTCCAAGATAGAGGCAAGACATTTAAACAGTGGAGAAGAGACATGTAAAGAATTACATGGATCAACAGTACTCATTTTCCAAAGACGATGATGATAAGATGGTGGTGGTGGTTGTAATGGTGTGTGTGCATGCACATGCATGCTAAGGTCAGTGCAACAGAACAGAAAAGTTCAAAGAGAAAAATCACATCCACATCAGATTCTTGTTATTGCTGTCTCTTTGAATTATAAAAATAATTCTGATACAGTAAAACCTCATTAATTTGTATTCCACTAATCAGGAGTTGGGGAGATAAAGTATACATTTTCTGACTCTATCATCTTTTCTCAAAATTACTGAGAACATTTAAAGGAATTGCCACTTCAAAAAAATACACTAAGAATTAAAAAATCTAAAAAAACAAATACTATTTGGGGCTACTAAAATAACCTGGATTTCAGGAAAAATGGTGAATTCTTAGGAAACACAAATGCAAATCTGGTAAGACCTGGAATAATCAAAATTCATTAAGTCAAACCCATTAATTTTTTTAAAAAAATTATTTTTGAAGGAACAACATATTACAGGATGGGTCCTAGAACCTGCATATATTCATTTTCTATGACTTTTAATTTCCAGAATCAGGTTAAATAATGATAGCAGGTGTCTTTATTTATTTATTTGCCTCTAGAGCCTCGCTGTTATGACAGATAACTTTTATCATATTAAGGGTATGCCTTATTTCACTTTGAAAAGAGTTTTTAATAAGGAAAAGGTGTTCGGTATCTACTGACATAATTTGTGGCTTATATCATTTAGCCTAAAGAGTGACAAAATTATTCATTTTGTATCATTAAATTCTCTCTGTATTTCTGTTGTCTATAATGGTGACTAAGGCCAACATAGCAAAAATACTACATTTTATAAAGATTTTCAATAATAAGTATTGAACCAAAAAGTATTTACTAATGAAAGCCCTTGTTAATCAGAAATGTAGTAAATCAGAATCTCTTTCCCAAAACATTAACTGAGGTTTTACTGAATCATATTAAAGAGAATGACCAGTTTGGTCTGTGAGTGTCAGGCTGCAAGAGCACCTTTGGATTGAAGACACCACTGGGCTTGAACAGTAATATACTGTGTAATTGACAGACAAAGATACAAATGGAGCATTAAAAACATATCCCTTTAGAAACTGAAACCAGAGTGTGTGAAATCAGTTCTCAAAGCTAACTGCACTGTTCCTGTAGTCTAGTTTCCCCCAACTTATCATTAACTCCCCTGCAGAGCACAAGCCAGGCTGAAAAAATGCTTTGAGGTGACCCAACCCTGCACGGTTTATGACTAAAACTAGCCAATTGTTCTGAAAGTGACAAACGGAAATTACTGTGTGAGGAATGACTTATTATCCTGGCAATACTCGATTATGACTGATAACGGTGATGATGTAAAATATTATGGAAAGACAAACATTAATCAGACTCTTGCCATAAGAATTCAATAATGTCCTAGTATAATGAAAGTTATAGATGAGAAGAAAACTCTGGTTTTCTTTTCTTTTTCAGTTGGGTATGGTAAATGTACCTGAAATACACTGATATCTTCTAATGCAGATTTTTTAAATTGTCAGGTATGGCCCAATTTATAAAAATAGTTTGCCATAAATCTTTTTTTCTTCTGTCACAACATGCTTTTTTTCTTTTCCTCTTAGGATGTTAATTTATCATGCAAAGATTTTTTTTTTAAGTGCATTAATGCTTTTGTTTGTACAGGATTTTTTCAAATCAGAAGGACTCCCCGTAGTTCCTAAATGTAAATCCTTAGCAAATGACAGGCCAAGATGATAGCTCCATTCCACGTTGGGAAAAGACAAACTCAGCCGTGTCTTGGGATTTTAACCAGGGTTCCCGCCTTTGGGTTGTACAGTGTCTAATAAATTTCCCTTATGATAACTTCAGATGTACTGTAATGGAACATTTTGTAGAAGAAACTGGCTTCTAGCAAGTTGAATAGTGATGCTGGGAATAAATTTGGTTTCCCTGAATAATGGTTTCTCAAAGCAGTCAGAGCTTCTTTAGAAGTTTAGAATTGGTACCATTTCTTATCCTTATATTTCAGCATTAACTGCAAAGAAAAAATAGTCACAATAAAATGTTTTTAAGAATCTTTAAAAGTACTAGCCAAAGCAAGCCCATATAGAACCAATCATGCATATCTAAATCTTAAATTTATAAAACTTCCTTTACTTTTTGAAATAAAGTACATATGAAAAGGTTTTTAAAAAATAATGAAGCTGAAAAGACTCAGCTGATTTTTAACGATTAAAGCAAAAAGTAGTGTGTGGATTCCAGGTTCTAGTGCCCCTCACACCTTTTTTGGGTGAGGAGGGAGGATCATATAATGTATCTAAGCACCTTTTTAGTAGCAGATGCACAATATAGACCCAATGTATCAGAACCAATGAATAATTTTCTTTTAAATTATCTCCTAAGGTAAAGTAGTATTAATATAGTATTTAAAAGCATTTCTCTCCCAAATACTGGGGGAATTATGACACTTATAACGAGATCCAGGTTACCCTGGTTCTCACACAGGATTACTTACAGTGACATCTCTGCACTTTCTTGTGCAGGGCCCCAGTGTTTCAAGTTATTATTGTATGAAGACGCTATATTAAGCCGTTTACCTCATGTGCATGTTTGGAAAATGCTTCCGCGCTGGTCATCATGCCTGCAGTCTTCTCTTCCAGCTCTCCTAGCCTCTGTCCTCTCTCATCAAGTGCGATCCGAGCACGTGTCAGCTCTCCCATCACCCCTCCGGCAGCACCTTTCATCCCTTCTATACCACCTGGTCCGGGAATATGCTGGGCCAAGCTGCGAGATGCTCTTCCTGCTGAAGCTTCCCCAACTGGGGATTCAAGCCATAGCAGTTTAAGACATATTGTCAGTAATTCAAATAATTAGAATCAAGTTTATCACCAAAGTACTTACCTTAAATTCTAGTGTCATAATTCTCATTGAGAGAGAGACATATTTGTTCTTATCGTAGATGGGTATTTGGAGATACTAGCTTTTACCCACAAAAATATCTATGAAAGAGTCTGAGACTGTGAGGTAACCATATTGTTACTGCCTGCCTTTGTATGTGTGTGGATTCCATGCAATATGGCATCATTGCATTTCTTGACATTGCTGAATTGGGATGCTCACAATATATGTGATTTCATATTTAACCCATATCAGGGTTTGTTCCAATCTTAGGTCTGTTCATTTGTTTAAATTTCTGCCTGTCTTCATTCCTACCATCTCTCTTCCTGTTGCTATCATCCTCTGTAGGCCTCAGTTGTTGTTACTGTTTAAAGATGTGTGTGGGAGGAAGTAAATACTAAAGAACAGGGTATGCATGATGGACATTAGTATACATGTGTTGAAATTTTGTTACTTTATAAAAGAATAAAAATTTCCCTATCATTTACAAAGTTCAGTTTAATTTTAATGATTTTTTTGGAAGTTTTTATTGAAAGACAGCTATCTTGGTAGAAATTTAATGAGCATTCTTAAGGATGTAATGGTAGGAGTAATATCAAAAGGTATTTTTTTAAATTAGAGGCTTATTGAGATATAATTCACATACTTTATATACATAAAGTGTACAATTCAGTGGTTTTAGTGTGCTGAGAGTAACGCAACTATCACCACTATCTAATTTTAAAACATTTTCATTACTCCAAAAAGAAACTCTGTGCCCATTAGCAGTCACTCCCCCTCCCTCCTTGCCCCAGTGCTTGGCAACCACTAATCTACCTTCTGTCTCTATGGATTTGCCTATTCTGGACATTTCTTATAAATGGAATCATACAATACGTGGCCTTTTTTCCTTCTTTAATTTAGTATGATGTCTTCAAGTTTCATCCCTGTTGTAGCATGTATCAAACTTCATTTCTTTTTATGGCTGAATAGTATTCCATCATATGGAGGCACCTAGATCTTTTGCTTGGTGAAAAGTTCAAGAGAAAGGAGTTCTGATCTTCAAGACCAAATAGGGCTGAGATATTCTGGGAAATACATTCTTTCTGAAAATGTTCCCTAGTATCTTTCTACTCCTTTTCGATTATTCATCAGAGTTCCACTGGAAGAATTTTAAAGTAATTTATTCTGTAGCATTGATAAACCTTGTGTTCTGAATAAAGAATCTGTTTCCCAGCAGTGATTAAAGGCAGGCAGATTCACAAACATTTTTTCCAGAATTTAGTAATTGATTATCTTCACCCTGCCTTGCAGGTATGATCTACTTGCAAATGATGTATTTATTAGCTTACTCATTATTTGTATGAATTGCATATACTGTTTTTGTTAAACTATTTCCTAATATGAAGTAACCGATTTTATTCATGTTTGGTAAAAAAATAATTTTCATGGTATAGAAGCAAAAAAACCTGGTCTGGAATTTGAGACCACATATTACATTAAGTTACACACACACACAGAAACAAGTCTACTATTCAGTGGTACAGTTTCATAATCAGGAGTTTACTCACAGAGCTCTTCTCTGTCAAATGTTTGTCCACTTCCACCAAAGAGTCCCTTGAGAAAGCCTCTGTTTTGAGCTTCTGGTGTCTCAATGGGAATAAACAGATCTCCTAGCATGTCCTGTATCAAATTCAAACAGAAAAGCATTAGAGTAACTAAAAATAAAGTGATAGAAAAAAGATAACCCTGTAGTATGTTAAAGCACAGAATAAAAAGATAGCTTGGAGCTCCTGGGTGGCTCAGATGGTTAAGCATCTGCCTTCAGATCAGGTCATGATCCCAGCGTCCTGGGATCAAGCCCCGCATCGGGCTCCCTGCTCAGCGGGGAGCCTGCTTCTCCCTCTCCCTCTGCCTCTCTCCCTGCTCATGCTCTCTCTCTGTATCTCTGTGTCTCAAATGAATAAATAAAATCTTAAAAATAAATAAATAAATAAAAAGATAGCCTGCTTTCCATATATTTTCCTGGCGATTTTTGCTTTGCTCACAGTTTTATTTCTGGCATTTCTTCTCTACCTCCTTTTTGTTTCCTTCTCTAGTAACTGACATCTGAAAATTTTCATTTTTCTGTCCTCTTCTTTTCTCCCCTTTACAGTTAGAAAACATGAGAAGCTAATATATTTACCTTAGGATTAATTTCTACCTGATCAATGACTCCCAATCTGGATTTAGGATCCTTTTTCAATTACCATAGCCTCTTTCTGTCCTAACCCCTTTCCTGAACCAAGCACGGACAACCCTATGAAGAAGGAAGCCTTTGGTAATATGTGGAGGACGTTTGGATTTATTTTTATATGAAGTACAAAACTAGGAAATGGTTCAAGACAAATGAGTCAAAATATGAGTCAAAAACGAGCCTAGCTCCTGCATAGTAAGATACAATTGTTTTCAATATTTGATGTGCTTTAGAATGACTGGAAAAATCCCTTGTTAGAAACATGGATGTTTGGGCTTTATTTCACACATACTGAGTCAGAATCCATATAGATGTGCTCTGGTTATCTATATTTTTAATGTGTTCTCCAGGTCTTTCTGAAGCACACCAAAATTTGAGAACCACTGGTGTGGAGGAAGGCACTTCAGCCCAAAGTCAGGAGATCTGTGACCTAATATCAGTTTGTCTATGAACCTGCAGCCTGACTTTCTTCATCCTCTTCCTCTCACCTCTACTCAACAGACCTGCAGTCTTCCTCCTGGATCCCTTCTCTTTGGAAATGGCAGCATCATCTACTTAGCCAGAAACCCAGGAATAATTATTAATTCCTTCTTTTCCCTCACTGCTACAACTACTAACCCTCCAATCCAACTGATTATACTTTATAGCAATTGAATCTGCTAACTTTTCTCCATTCTCACTGCTGGCTGCTTTAAGACATTGTTTTTTTTTGGCCTTAATTATTTTTAAAAAAGCCTCCTAATTGTTCTCCCTTATTCCTTGAAACAATACGCAACCAGAATCTTAGTTTTCATAAACAAATCTGTTAAACCTTTTTAATGACTTCCTGTTGCCCTTGGGATAAATGCCAGATTCCTTAGGCTCTTACCAGGTGCTCCCAGATCTGTTCTGGAAAAATTCTCCAGCACTATCCCTCCATCCTTTTCACTAACTCTTCACTTTGTTGGCAGTTTCCTGAACTCCTGGGGTTTTGCACACAACTATTCTGCCAGGAATATCATTTCCTTTTCCATTCCCAGCCATCCATTCCTATGGACAACTCTTACTCCTTACAACCCTTTTCTAACTAGCCCTCTCTTCTGTTCCAGCAACCCAGGGGCCCCTCTTCCATGTCTCTCCACCTCTGGCACAGCCACATATAGGCAGTCTCTTCCAGAGTGCTGTGGTTGTCTCTTTACTTACCTCCCTCCACACTAGCGGGTAGGGACTTGTATCTTGTTTTATCACTGTATTCCTATAGCCTAGCCAAGTACCAGGCATATGGTAAAAACTCAGTATTTACTGAATAATAATAAGAAGAACATTATTATTTATTTTAAAAATATACTATGTTGGGCGCCTGGGTGGCTCAGTCGGTTAAGCAACTGCCTTCGGCTCAGGTCATGATCCTGGAGTCCCGGGATCGAGTCCCGCATCGGGCTCCCTGCTCGGCGGGGAGTCTGCTTCTCCCTCTGACCCTCCCCCCTCTCATGTGCTCGCTTTCTCTCATTCTCTCTCTCTCAAATAAATAAATAAAATCTTTAAAATAAATAAATAAATAAATAAAATAAAATAAAAATATACTATGTTCCAGGCACTGTGCTCAGCGTTCTTACTTAATTCTCACAACAGTGCTCCAAGACTGAGCGTATGGGTGGGTTAAGTAAAATGCCCAAAGTTATACAAGTGGGCAAAATACAACTGAAATAGTTCAGAGCTTATACTCTCAACCTCTAAACTAAAACTGGCTTTAGTTTTCTTTTTTGTAAAATAAGGGGGTTGAACCAATTAAATCTCTAAGATGCTCTTTTCAAATTTTGTAACTGCTTATCCAAGGTTAGATAGGCATTTATATTTATTCTATTTCAGGGCTCTGCTTACTGCTATGATAAAAAACAAATGCCCAATTCTAACCCACCAGAAATGTATTTATTTTGTATGGCTCTTAATCAAAATTAATATTTCTTCAAAAAAAAAGTCCATGAGCTCCCTGAATTGTATGCAAAATTTTTGTGTATATGTGCATATTCCCCACCTGGGAGGGAGAGAGTTTATAACCTTTTTTTTTTTAAGAGGGTTTATAATCTTACAGAGGATTCTCTGTAGGTAAAACAACAACAACAACAACAAAGAATAAAATGAACAAACAAAAAATCAACCATTAATATGTATGATCTTCACTTTCTCCCTCTCACTTCCCTTTTTTCTTATTTTTTTCTGTGTATACCTAGACCCACACTAAACTTGACAGGGTCACAATGATGAACATATATTCAAAACATATTCTAGGGAAGGCATATTTATTGCCTGGCCCAATAATACTTTAGCTTTTAGATATCTCTCTAATTCTCTTTTTACAACCATGTCCAGTGTTTATTCATAAATGTGCCTGACCTACCTGAAGATTATCACACATCTCTTGGCTGTATGTTAACCGCTGAATTTCAGTAGGAGAGACGAGGTATAATGCCTGGCCTTCATTGGTAAAACAAAATGTCCGTGCTATCCTCATGTCTGTCAGTGGCAAATAATTAACATCCAACACTGGGCGAAGACTAGGTAGGCTGAATGGAAAAAAGCAAATCCACATTTCATATTCAGGTTGTTAGAAGCTTTAATTTCTCTGTGTAAAATGTGCAGACCCTTACATAAAAAATTATTTTTATACCACTATTTTATGGTTGTTTCTTTTTATTCTCTTGAAGTCTCAATGGTAAAAAACTAGACTTTCACATTAAATCATATATACACAAAAAATCATGGGCCCCATCCTTTATCTTAATCCACACAGATACTTAGCAGATATCCTTGGAGGCTGGATTAAATGCAGTGGCCAGCAATTTCAGGATACTGTTTGCAGCATTTCACAGGTTCCTACAATATGGTTATAGTCTGTGGTTATGGCAGAAACACCATAGCTAGAAAGTGGCTGACTGCATACTTGGCCTACTATCTCCTTTTAAGGCAAAACTCCTGAGTCTGAGGAGGTTATGCACTGATAGACACATGGAATGGATCCAGTTCACTGTGCCTGGCAATGGAGTGGCTTTGCTCCCCATTCCTCTACTCCCTCTATACACAAGATATGAAAATTACCTATAACTTAGGTCACCTGCGCTGAAGGCATGATGAATAAATAAACATGGTTAAGGTTATAAGGGAATGAGAATAAGTTACAGATAATAGAATTTGCATAGCCAAATGAATACCACTCATCTCAAGTGTCTTACCAAATGGCTATAGTCTTATCCTAATGTTGTAGCCCATGATTTTGCCTATTCATTAGAATGTCCATTTGGACCTGAACAATTCGTTTCCCTTTCTTTTCTCAATAGAACTTAGTTTCCTCAAGATATTTTACAATCCTTAATACTGCTCAGAACTTGAGTTTTGAAGAGAGTATAAAGAATGTCCCTTTGGATACTTCCATGAGCCAGTTTTGCAAACTACTGAAGAAAATTAATCTCATTGCTTTTAGATCACAGCTCTAATGCCAAAAGGAGAAAAATAAACTTGTCATTAAATCTCAAGCTTTGAAATCATTCAACTGATTCTGATGTGTATAATGATTTTAAATTATCCCAGATCATAAAACCAGTACCTTGAAAAAAAAGTACTGACTTCTCTCTTATGAAAGTAGTTTGTAATTACAAGTTAAGCCTTAGAACTTTATCATATAGAATGGGACCTGAAATCTGTGCAGCTGGAATAAGCTTTCCATGAGGTTCTAGCAATATATTGTCCAATATGGTAGCCATTAGCCATATATGGCTATTGAGCAGTTGATATGTGTGTTGTGTGAACTGAGATGTTCTGTAAATGTAAATTATATACTGGATTTCAAAGACTTACATGTTATGGCATTTCAAGTAATTAAGATCTTTAGGATATGAGTCCAAAACAAACCTAGTTACACAGACTTCCATGATAGATTCAGTCAAATTAATGGGTGGCAGTGGGTGAGGGATTCTAATGGACTTTTCTGATAAACTACATTATTTATGTAGCATAATAAAAGTAAGCCAAGAAAACAGAAATGGTGTGATTACTTTAGGTAGGAAAAGGAAAACAGTAATTCAATTGCTAAAGACTAGGAACTAAGTGATTTTAGTATATGTGCTGCCGAAGTAAGGAGGGAACTACGTGATTTTAAAGCTGAAAAACAGATTTTTTTTCTGTGCAGGGGACACTTTATAAGGAAAAAGTTCACAAAACTAGCAATGGTTCTCACTAAAAATGACTATCACAGCCCAGTTTGAGAACTTATTTATAGATAAGCCTCTAGTATCCCTTTCTACTATTTTCTAGGTCTGGGTACATTAGCATATAAACAATCATTAGCTACCTGCCAACCATCAGAAAGGTAGGACTTGAGAAGAATGGACTCAGTATAGTTCATTTCTGATAGGATCTGGAAAGATCTAGGAAAATACTTAGCATGGGAAGATGATCAATTGGTAATGCCAATTCAAAGGATTCAGTTCTTCAAGCCACATATTATTCCCTAGCCACAACTAATATATTACTAAAATCATCCCAAAGTAATTTCCTTTCAAATATTTTTGAAATCCTCAGGAACACATGAAAATTTTCCACTTGGGGACATAATATTAAAGTAGCATTATCTTGTAAAGCAGCTTTTACAAAGAGCAGAGGAAGACAGAGATATCATCTTAACTCTCCTGTTGTTATGACTCCTGTTCTTTTTTTAAACTCTATTGTTTTTATTTCTCAAGAAATTTCCCTTCTCAAAATGTCAATGGTAGCACATATTTATTTAAATGGAAATTAATTTGCAGATATACCCAAAATCATTCGAGAAAACAAGACACACTAAAATTTTACAAAAATAGGGTAATCACTATCAAGCTAAAAATCTCAGTTGTGACAACAGTTTAATGTCTTTTAGTTTAAAATAAAAATTTGGAGTGACTAAATGGGAGCTTAGGGGAGGGCAGGGTATGGATGATACACATTTTTTTTTCTCCTCAAAACTAAGGCATTCTAGGAGTTAAGTCATCATTTTCAAACAAGACTGGAATGATTTTCATGACAAATACCGAAAAACAGTTTGAGAAAGAGAAACCAGATAAAAGAAAGAACCAGAAATATCTAAGAGAATGAGAAGACAATAAATGTTTTTATTTTTTCAAAACTTTAACTAGTTTTCCTTGGGTTACAAATCTATTCATGTCTCCCCTATTTAAAGAAAATAAAACAGTAAAAACATTCTTGAAAACCTAGTTTTGCTCTTGAACTGCTTTCCTGTCTCTCATCTCTCTTTTTAACCACAAAATTTCCTGGAAGAATAATCTATACTAAGGATTGGCAAACTTTTATTAAAGTGCCAGATGGTAAATATTGTAGGCTTTGTAGGTCATAGGGTCTCTGTTACAACTACTCAACTTTGCCTTGTCTTGCAAAAGCAGCCAGACATTATGTAAGCAAATGGGTGTGGCTGTGTTCCAAAAAAACCTTTATTTATGGATATTGAAATTTGAACTTCATATAATTTTCACATATTATGAAATATTCTCTGATTTTTTTCAACATTTTAAAATATAAAATCCATTCTTAGCTTGCAGGCTGTACAGTATCAGATTAGAGGGAGGGCAGGATAGATATGGTCTGTGGGTGGTAAGTTTGTCAGCTCCCGATCTCTACCACTGCCTCTAGCTCCATTGAAAATTTAGTTTTTGCCTCCACCATGCTCCCAAGATTTGCCTTCTCAAGGATCACTAATACCCTGTTAGTTGCCAGGCCTAGTGTTTCTTCTTCTACCCAAATTCTTTGGCCTCTCTGCTATATCTGACTACCTCTTGACCATTGTCTTGGTGGTCTTCTATCTTTTGTTTGGATATTCTTCTACCGTTTCATGAAGTTATTCTCATCCTTTTCCTATGTCTCTGATGACTTCTCAATATCCTCTGCTGGATTTTGTTTCTTTTCTACTACATAAATGTAGAGATATCCTCAAGTTTTTGTTCCCAGATCAGTCTATTTCTCCTTTCTTTTTATACTGTCTTCTCTAATGATCTCATTCACTGCTGTAATTTTCACTAATGCATTTACATAGATGACTTCCAAAGCTGGATCTTCCATATTTTTCTAGGAGCCCAGACCTTAAATTGCTTGCCAAACTTCTGCAGGACGGCTTAAAAGCACCTCAAATTCAAGGCATTCATTCTCAAACTTCTCATTATCAGCTTTTCCAAATTCTCATAACTTTCCCATCTGCTAATGACATCACTGTTATTCAAGTTCATAAAAATTTTTTAACCTTTAAATTCTATTCTAATTCTGAGATTTAACGATCTCCATCACCTTCACAATCAGTTTTACATTCAGCAAGTTTCCCTCAATTATCCCTCACATCTGTTTCTACTTTGCTTTCTATATAACTAACATTTTAGTTCAGAAGACCATTTCAAGCTCTCCATATAATTTCTTAATGTATAGCTAGAGCAGGTTAGCTACTAACTGATTAATATCAAACTCATTAGCCTGCCATTAAAGGTCCTCAATTATTTACCCCAATCTACTTCTTCAGTTTACCTTCCTCCCAACATCTCCTTTTTAATAACATATACCAACTATCTCATGACTTTGAATTCTGAGGACTTAGTTTATGTCTAGAAGGTTCAACTTGTGTATCTTATCTCCCCCAATTTAATAGTAACCTTTTTAAGGACTAGGACTATGTTTTTACTAATTTTTATATCCTTCACAGGCCTAGTATAATGCTTTACTATCTCAGTGATTTTTGGAACCAGGTGAGTTGTTAAAACAAATGATAGGGACTTCTACACAGATTATGTTTATTATGTGTTTGTTGAACTCATAAAATCATTAGGTAATTAATTTTGTATCTAATGAATTTTATTTTAATTTATTAACAGTATAATGAAATCTCTCAGCTGATATCATATTATTATGGTTGTCAAAGGGCATAAACTTCCAGTTACAAGATTATTAAATTCTGGGGATCTAATGTACAACATGATGACTTATAGTTAACCATACTGTATTGTATACTTGAAGTTGCTAGAAGAGTAGATCTTAAAAGTTCTCACCACACACACAAAAGTGGTAACTGTGAGGTGATAGATGTGTTAACTAACATTATTATGGTAGTAATTCCACAATATATACATATATCAAATTATCATGTTGTACACCTTAAACTTACACAATGTTATATTTCAATTGTAGTGATAACTTTTAATATACTGTTCAGTGCTGGTCTCACTCTTTACTAGACTTGCAACGTCAGGCAAATTTGAGCTTTAATTTATTAACATGTAAAATGGAGGATGCAAATACTACTTTGTTTTCCTATGTCCTACAGAAATCATAAGGACCAAATTTAACTCTGTATGTAAAGTTCTTGTGTGGATTATAAAATATAGTAAAAGTAAGTTCATTTCTTTCCCTTATAGTTTATTCATTTTTATATTTTATGCCTAGCATAATATCTGAGAGATAACATATGTTCAGTAAATGCTTGTGGATTAATGTGTGAATGACTAGAAAAATCACTCATTCTTTAGATTCCTTGAAATCAATTAAAATATATATTTCACTCACAATGCAATGCATTTTTAGCAAAAGCAAAAAATAAAAAAATAAAAACCCCATAGTCTCCTCAAATTGTCAAATAATGAAACATTCACAAACATAATGAAGCAATGATCTCAGGTTGCTTCTTGATTGCACATTACACATATACTTTTCAGAACTGTACCTTGGTCACACTGTTGTGATTACCAGATAATTTATAAAGAAGGCAAGTACCTCATTATCATGATATGCCCATTGGCACAAAAGCATGCCAAGCAGGCACTGTTACACATGACCACCACATCTGCTTGGAGTATAAAAGATGTCTCGGTGATGTTATGAACATAAAGACAAGTCTGAGAAGGCAGTGAGAAGACTTTGGCTTGTTTTTCTGAGCAGATTATTGTATACTGATGATCTCCTATTTCTTGGGATGGAGAAGGGCAGTTCATGACCAGTTTCCTTCTCCAAGATTTTTCATTTTCATCTACGTTGTTTGGATCCCTCCAAACTTCATATGGCGGTTGCATTAATCCGCCATTTCGGTCCATACAGGAGAATGTTAGCACAGCTCCTTTCAGTGAGAGGAATGTACCTATAAAAACAATTTCATATCACTGGCATGTGAAATTCTTTCTAAAACAGTTGTTATTCATTTATGGGTAGTAAATGTTTTATACTGATAATTTACATCTATAGTGTCATAATATTGCAGTAATATACATGTATCAGTAGATTTGTGAGTTCATCATTTGCAATTTCTTGGCATCATAGAATGTTAGGTCTAAAAGGGGCCTAAGACATCAACTTGTCAAATCCTTTCATTTTATTAATGAGAAAATGGAGACCCAGAAAAGTGATGAGACTTGGGGCATGTCACATGGCAAGTTAGTGGTTGAGCCTGGACTAGAACTCAGGTTTCCTAATTTCTAATCCAGTATTCTTTTACCATACTATATAGACCCCCTTAACATCCTTTTTTAAAAAGCAAATTTTAGAAAATTTATAATTTTTATTTATTGAAAGAAGTTCAACTGAAAAAAATCATACCATCTGATTCCATTTCCTTATTTCTTAGGCTCATTTACTAGAAAATGGTTTTTTTTTTCTTCTGAAATTGAACACCTAGAATAAATTTCATGAAATTTTAACATATAGAGTTCATGCTTGCAATTTTGGTTGTATTAAAAAGTCCTTTGGCTCTTAGGCAGGCTTATGCATCTTTATACAGAAAAGAAGTTTACTCACCTGGATTCTCCAAGTTTGAATATCCATGCCCAATTATTACCTATGGGTGTTTTTGCCAGTCCCAGAGGACAGGATACTATAAAGCTTAAGAGGTAACCTGTGATAGATTGATCTTTGGACATTGTCAGACTGTCCTTAAGCAATGCCCCAGCAGTCTTTTTCTTCCTTTGTCCTCTGACATCATGCAGAGAGAGTAAGGGGATTAACCCAGGCTGATATGGCTCAAGAGTGTACATACAACAGACACTTAAAAAAGAATGATAAATAAAAATACATTCCATTTAGAAAGTACTCTATAATTTAACATACTTAAAATTTATCAAATTTAAAATAACATGTTTAGGTGTTTTAACATCCCAGTTGTGTTTTAAAATCCACTTCAAAACTAAGAAGACTGTAAATGTCCTACAAGGGTAACTGAAGAAAATAGGAGAGCAGGGTTTAGGCGCTTCAGTGTGAGGGTCAAGGAATAAAAGAACCGTTGTCCCAGTGTCCCATGGGGAAAAAAGATAATGCCAAAAGCATTAGACTTTTACTTGGTATGAGGAAGATTTTGAGAATAGGGTGTTGTAATCTAATTTTCACTTAACAGGATCACTCTTCCTGCTGGGTATATTCTAAAGGGAATCAAGGTTGAACAAAGGGAGAACAGTTAATAGGTTAGTACGTTAAATCAAGGCAAGAAATAGATAGAGGTTTCCTCCCATCAGGTGGTAACAACAGAGATGGTGAGCAGTGATCAGAATCTGAGGATACTATAAAGGTCAAACCAACAGAATTTGCTAATAAACTGGATTTAGAGTGTGAAAGAAACATAGTGGTCTAGGATGATTCTAATGTTTCTGACCTGAGAAACTGGAAGGATGGAATTGCCATTAACAGATGTGGGAAAGAATATGGGGGAAAGGAAAAGAATACCAGGAACTCAGTTTTGGATATGTTAAGTTTGAGACGCTTATTAGACATCCAAGTGGATGTTAAGTAACTGGATATCTATGTCAGAAATTTGGAGATGGTTACAGACTATAAATACAAATATATGACCCATCAGATTATCAATGGCATTTAAAGTCATGAGGCTGGTTGATTTCATTTTGGCCTTGAATATAAATAAAAAACAGAAAAGGTTTGAGCCAGTCTTTGGGCATTCTGATGTTTTAAGTCCAGTGAAATGAGAAGGAACCAGCAAAGTGGACTGATAAGGAATGGCTAGAAAGTTAGGAAGAAAAGTATGTAAATATAGTGTTCTGGAATCCAAGTGAAGTGTTTTTAATGTAGGGACAATGGTAAACTGTGTAATATGTTGCTGATATGTCAAGTAAGATGTGGCCTGAGAACTGACCATTGGATTTAGCCCTGAGTTCAGTGGTGACCTAGATAGAAGTTTTTATTGATTGGTATGGGAGAAAGCTTGATTAGAATGGAGACGAGAGAATGGGAGAAGGAAATTTGAAATAGTGAATATAACACAAACATTTCAAGGAATTTTGCATTAAAGAGAAAGAAATGAAATGGAGCATTTTGCGGGATAGATTCAAGAGAGTTTTTCTATTTTATTTATTTATTTAAGATTTTATTTTTTAAAGTAACCTCTACACCCAATGTGGGACTTGAACTCACAACCCTGAGATCAAGAGTCACATGCTCTACCAACTGAGCCAGCCAGACACCCCAAGTTTTTCTCTTTTAATGGGAGAAAGAACAGCATATTTGTATGCTGATCTAGCAGAAAGATAAGTATTTATTACCATTATAATTACACAATTAGGTGTAATAATACAAATATAATGTAATTATATAAAGGAAACAGAGGAAAAGTTGCTGGATTGACTTTCTTGAGTGTACAAGTAGAGAAGTTGGCCAAGTTGGGAGCTTACACAGTTTAGTCATAATAACAGGAGAGAATATAGAGACCATGGAGAGATAAGCAGACAGGAGATATAGATGTGGTGGTTGAAGTTGTTATCTGCTTGTTTCAATTTCCACAGTGAAAGAGGACACGTGGTCATTAGCTGACATTGAAAAGAGCAAAGGAGGTATTGGGGGTTTGAGAAGAGTGGAGAAATATAATTGTTCAAGAGCATGGGAGAGAGGACTAGGGAAATATAGTAAATATAATCACCCAGCAGCAAAGGAGCCTAGTTGAAGTTATTAATGATTTATTTCAAAATGAGACTATTTATTGTGTTTATATATTTTTCTCTAGCCATGTTCAACTACACAGGCATAGAAATAAAGTAGGTAGAATTAAATTTAACCAGAATTGTGATTAAACTGAATTTTCATGTGTAATACTGTGATTTATATTCTGTGTCTGACACAGAGCTCCTAAAACCCTTGGAATTTCTAAATGAGAAGGCAACACAGGTGTCTTTTATTATGTTAATGAGGTGACTTTTGGACCTCACCCAAGGATGGGGGCTGGTTGCCTGAGGAACCAACAATGTGATTAGAGGTTAGGACTTTTAGTCCCACTACTTCCCCACCACGGAGCAAGGAAGGGGTGGGGGCTGGAGATTGAATTCAATCACCAGTGGTCAATGATTTAGTCAATCATGCCTATGTAATTAATGAAGCCTCCATAAAAACTCAAAAGGGTTGGTGAATAGGTGGAGGTGCAGGGAGAGTAATGCTCCTGGAGAAGGCTTGGAAGCTCTGTGTTCTTTTCCCTACTCACCTCTTCCATCTGGATGTTCATCTGTAAATTTTAATAATAAGCAGGCAAACGGTAAGTAAACAATTTTCCTGAGTTCAGTGTGCCACTCTAGCAAATTAATTGAACCCAAGGAGGGGGTTGTGGAAACCCCAGATTTATAGCCAATGGGTCAGAAGCACAGGTGATAAACTAGACTTCCGACTGGTGTCTAAAGGAAGGAGAGAGGGCTGTTTTGTGGAACTGAGCCCTGAACCTGTGGGATCTGATAGTTATTTCCAGATAGTGTCAGAATCGAGTTAAATTGGACATCTAGCTGGCGTTGCAAAGAATTGCTTGCTATGAGGAAAAACCTCCACGCGTCTGGTGTCGGAAGTGTTGTGAGTGTGGAAGTTGTGAGTGTGAGTTGTGAAATGAGAAGAGGTACACAGGACAAACACAGAAGGAGGAAGCACTGGGTTTTTCCCTAAACAGGAGCCAAGAATTGTAGCTTTTTCCATCCCAGCATGTAAAGTTGCTTTTGTAGAATCACCTGGGAGCTCATTAAAAATGCAAATCCTCAGACTCCACCTCAGACCTACTGACTTGGAAACCCTTGGGGCGCGGGCCAATAATCTGTGTTGTAACAAACCCTCCAAGTGATTCTGATACAGACTAAAGGGATAACTACGGGGAATGGATAATCTTTCGGTGCTTTTCCATTCTCAGTGGAAAAATTCAATGATTTAGTGCACTTCAAATTTTCATATCATTGAATTTGTTGTCAAGAAAACCACAGTAGATTAATGTGAAAAGTTTCCTTAAAAAGGAGAAGTGGGCTTTTCTGTGTTGAGTGGCTTTTGATTGCTGATTCAATCTCCTTGTTAATTACAGATCTGTTCAGATTTTTTATTTCTTCATGATTCGGTCTTGGTAGGTTGTATGTTTCTAGAAATTTATCCATTTCTTTTAGGTTGTTCAGTTTATATGCATAATTATTGTTCACAATAGTAGTCTCTTATGATCTTCCAACTAGGCTTTCTCTCTTTTCCATGGTTATTTATAAAACACATCTGAACCTACCTTCATAGTTAACTCTTTTATGTAGCTCTTAAAAAATACTTTTTTTTAAAAGAGCAGTTTTAGGGTTACAGAAAATTGAGTACAGAATTCCCATATGCTCCCTTTGTCCTTTATTATTAACATCTTGTATTAGTGTGGTACACTGTTACAACTGGTGAGCTCAAGTCTTGAAAGAACTGGAGAATAATGACAGAAAATTGGAGGAGACAGGCTCCCATTATGTATCTTTAAATAGTCAAGGAAAAGCTTTGTAAATATTAACTAACCAGATACCACATTATTAAGTTAAATCTCTACTTATTTTGTATTTTGCCATCATTTTTAGTCTATGTTTGTTAAGAACGGTAAAGGACTTTCCCATAATATTGAGAGATCTGTTAAATTATTTCCAGATCTGTTTATTTCTAGGCTTGTGACATAGAAAACCATATTTGTTAGACTATCTCTTAGAAAATTGTCTTCCACTTACAGTTGTAAACTTGTGTACACAGGAGTTAGATTTTCACCTTTAAACTTGTAAGGAATGCCTGGCACATATTAGGTGTCCAATATGGATAATAATTTATTGAGTTAAATAGTGGATTGAATTAGCGTTTAATAATTCATTATGACCTCACTGATCTGGCTCTAATTCAATCACTGTAAGAGAATTGTGCATATTTCCTTAAAATTAGGAATGTAGTAAAAGATATTTTCTCATCATGAAGTATGTTTACAATTAAAGTGACCCTAAGAGATTAACTTTTAAAATACAATGCATTTTATGGGCTGAATTGTGTCCCCACCAAATTCATATGTTGAAGGCCTAAACCCTAGTACTATATTTAAGGTAGAGTTTATAAAGAGATGATTAAGTTAAAAGGAGGTTGTTAGAGTGGGCCAATCCAAACTGGTATCTAAGAAGAGATTAGGATACACAGGGAGACACCAGAGGTACATGCATACAGAAGGACAGCCATGGGAAGACATGGTAAGGGTGGCTATCTACAAGCCAAGGACAGATGCCTCAGAAGAAACTAGACCTGCTGACACCTTAATCTTGATCCTCTAGTCTCCAGAAGTATGAGAAGATCAGTTTCAGTTGTTTAACACACACACACACACACACACACACACATTTATCTAAATTTGCCACACTAGTAGAGAGCTGACTATTCCACCTACAATAAGTAAAAATCTACAAGAATTTAGCACACCAGTTAACAAAATATAACTCTAACCTAGCATTCTATATATATGCATTCTTTTAAAATAAAATTCCTTATCCTATATATTAATAAAATTCTTATTTTTTTTACTTAAAAACTATCTGAAAAACATCATACACTGGAAATACAAAGTAAAAGTTATTGAGAAGAACAAATTTTAAAATGTTCAAAGGAATTGCATGAGGAATCACACTCATCTCTTCTTTGGAAGGAAGGAAAGATAATTCAAGAGAATACAACATATGCTTTAGCAAAATACTCGTAACTTATGTTAAATTCTTTAGGCACTAGGATAAAAAAGAAAGAAATTGTATGGCATGCCTTTGAAACAAGATGGGAAGGTTACCAAGGACTTTAGAAAGCTATGTCAAGTCAGACTGCTTTTAGATTAATTGTTCTGAGTTCTTCAGGGATGATTAAAAAACACTCATAGGCTCTGATCTGGCATGGAACTTTGGAGAAATAATTTAATTCATTAAATACTTTAACTTTTGCATTAAGGTTTTCCTTAGTGCTTTTCAGAAACCTTTTTCCCAAGGCATTGTTTAGGTGGGCAGTTCCACAGTTTCCTACCATAAAAATAATTATATTATTTTATCCTAAGGAATGGTAAGTTGCTGTATGACAAATGTTGGGATAGTATACAATTTATGAAATTTTCAATAGTTTCCAGTATACAGAATACTTACAAACTTTATTCCAGATCAGTATAAATTAATGTTATACCTTATCTTATATCTAACTGTTAAAAAGTAGCAACTGAGAAATAAAATTCCTTACCACTTGGCAATACCATGACTGGCTCTGTAAATCTTTGTTCATCTGCTGAAGGTAGGTTCAGGGAGATGATTAAAACCATTCCCAGACTAGTTCCAACAAACAAACAAGGGGAGACCGTAGGGTCATTTTTCCGAGCAAAGGATTCCATGAAGTATAGTGCTGTAATTGCTTCTTTCGAATCTTTGTCAATACTGGAGATGCTAGAGCTTCTAGAACGATTATAGGAATTTTCTCGGCTTTCTATAGAAATTCAGAAAAACAAAAATTGTCAGTGTATTTCCATAACAAGTAAAGTCAGACTTAGTACATGAAAAACAAAATTATGAAGGGGAAGTAGAATTTGATTCCTTGTTAACTGATCTGGAAGACTGCTTGTCCAGTTCATCAGCTTATTTTGATAATGAAGAGATTGAAGTCCAGATATGTAAATCACAAACTTTGGCAGAGCTGGAACTAGAAGTTGAATCTCCAGAGTTCCAGTTCACCAGGTTTTTCTCCCTACATTACCTCACAAATTAGTTGAAATTTTCTGGTCTGGAAAAAAAAATATTTAGTCTGAGTAGTCAAGGTTACAAGAATTTCTGGTACCATTTTAATTATGGTTTCCTTCTATCTCTCAATTGTTGAAAATAGTCCTCATGATTTCTTGGCAATTCCCACCTACTGACAACATTATGGCTACTTAACTGAAAGGTCACAAATGTTCTTGGTGAATACATTTCCCTAACTGACATAATTTTTGGTTTTGCTATATTTGGAGTGACTGCAGTTGTTATATTTACCAAGGCCAAAAAGAGCAACTGCTATATCCCTGAACTACTTTCAGGATACCAACTTGAATCCAAATCCAGTTCTAACTTTACCTAGAACCAAATAAGAAGCTGTAGACAGGACCATCTCGTTGTTAATAGTAATCTGAGAGGGCTTCAGCCCACCTAAAGGAAGTAGGATGGTTTCAAGTTTTCCTGCTCATCAACATTTACTCATGTGCACACTCCAATAAGCATAAAAGAACCCCCCCCCCCCCCGCCCCGCCTCAGTTAAGTACTACTGGAGTGTTTTGTTCTTATAATTGCTCCAGAGTTCAAGTTCCTTATATTCTTTTTTCTATTCCTTTCTTTCTCGATAGGTCAAGTGTGACTCATTTTTATAAAAAGAGACTAAATATAAATTCCTTAGACTCTTCTTTTTCTAAAAAGCAAAATATAGTATTCCTAATCCCCCTCTTCTATCCCTCAACAAGTTTGTAAAAATAATTATTTGTAATAGAATTTAGAGATGAGAGGGAGCTTGGATATAATCTACACAATTCTATAGATTTGGAGACAGAGACATAGAGTTAAGCAATTATCCCAGAATCCAGTAGAAGTTAGAGGCAGAAATGTCTAAAACTCAAAATTCTCAACTCAACCCACTGATTAAGAGTGCTACTTCTATAACCTTTACATTTTGCTTCTATTATAAAATTCCTAGCTAATATGCTTTTGAAGTTTTTCCATTCGTGGTTCATCAACATTCAAGTTTGTTACTCATACACCTGTGAGAGAAATAATCTCATCTACACATCCATGAACCAGATTTAGTATGGTATAATACTAAACTTTAAAATTTTTTGTAATTTAAAAAATTTTTTAAATTTAAATTTTTAAATACAGGTCATTACTAAAAAGTTTTTGAGGTGGTAAATGGGGAATTACTTTATAGAATAGAATTACTAAAGAAAATCTTCTAAGATTATTTTTTCCTCTATCTTTCCCCAAAGTTCTTTGTCAGCAAGACTGTAGCAACTAAGTTACAAGATTCCTTTTTTTTCTCCCTCTCTAAAAATTTCTGGCCTTCTAGCTCTTATACTTTAATCCATGTTCCAACACTCATTCCATAAACATGCAATTAATCCTTCCTTTTAAAAACATATGAAGATTGCAAACTTCAGAACTTAAGATTCTGCCTTTTTCTTGGTCATACTCACTTGACAGTTGAGGAAATGAGGGTTGCAAGACATTAAATAACTATCTACTGATAGAGACACTGAAAGGCTTACCATTGAGATGGAAGGAAACTCTCAATTGCTGCTGGGAGTGTAAAGAACTGATTAAGGCATAGATCTCCCCTCGTACAGAGGAGGTGTCTACCAATAAGCACAGACATTCTGGTTTTAGAGATGAAGAAGGAGGTATAGTGAGGAATGATTTGGAGTCATGGCCACAGTTTGACCAGCTCTCAGTCACTCATTGCCTAGAATTGACTGTAGTTTTAAAGTATCTTTTACACCAAGACCTACATCCCTTGTCCTCTAGCTCCCATTATCATGGCATATCAAATTTTAATTGTATCCACAAAAATTTGTATGTTTAACTTACCTTCTGTTGTGACTGGTAAAGAAATTTCCATGCAAGCAGCTGATTGTGCTTTCCGAAATGGTGGTCTTCCAGGACCCCAGCGATTTACTTTTGAAACATCAGCACTTGACAGACGTTTTCCAGAACTGCAACTCTGAGAGGTTGGACTTGTGCAGTGTCCATTTACATGATCTGTATCAAGAGGAAGAAGGCAGCATAAATATCATAATTAAATCTTCATATAAAGGAACCCAAATATGTAGATTAATGAAGAGTGAGAATTCCTTTTTTTTAAACCATAGAAAGATGGCTAAGCCCTTGCTATTTTAAGATTAGTCACATTTTCAGTAGTTAGCCAAAATTTCATAAGATTTTTATTACATATAAGTTCATTTTTAATATGTGGTTAATTAACATAGCTTAAAATTTATTCTATATCCCCATTAAGTATTATATACAATTTAATGGCCATTACAAAATAGGTTATAGTATTTGACTTTCTTTTGCATAATTTAAATATACGCCTATTTATATAAGTTTTGGAAGTACCTCCAGTGCTTGGAGTTTAAAACATAGAATGGAAGCATCTCACTGTGTAGTTGCAAATAGTACTTAAGAAGATTGATTCTAGAGCCAGACTGCCTGGGCTCAAATCCCAGTTCTATCATTTACAAGTTGTACAAATTACTGAAGTCTTCATACTTTAGTTTCCTTTTCTATAAGTTGGGAAAATTATCTACCTCATGGAGTTTTTGTGATAATTCATGTCACATGCCAGAACACTTCTTGGTATATGGTAAATTCTGAACAAAAATTATTACTGTCATTCTTGTTTCAGACTATTTAAACTGCTCATGTCTAAGGCAAATAGTACTATTTATTTAGAGCTAGCTTATGAATTTATCTCTGTTTTGATAGAACTTAAAAACTTGGAAATAATGCCACCAAAAATAGGTCTTTTTTAAATGCTAATATATAGGGCGCCTGGGTGGCTCGGATGGTTAAGCGTCTGCCTTCGGCTCAGGTCATGATCCCAGGGTCCTGGGATTGAGTCCCGCATTGGGCTCCTTGCTCAGCAGGGAGTCTGCTTCTCCCTCTCCCTCTGCCTCTCCCCCTGCTTGTTCTCTCTCTGTCTCTCTCACAAATGAATAAATAAAATCTTAAAAAATAAATAAATAAATGCTAATATATAATATTTGAAACATGTCATAGTTCTGTAATATTCAGAGTACATTTAAAAATGTACTTTGGTCATTCAAAGGACGATAGAGTTAAATGGAGAAAATCCTGTTTAACGTCCATATGGTATAACTGTCTACTCCATTATAGCCTTTTTGTATTGCAGAGTTTGAAAAAAAATTGTCCATTTCCTGGGTTTCCTTGTGCAAGGATGACAATCCAATTACGTTTCACCATTCATATGCATTAGTGTGTTTTGCTATTTTTTAAAAAGGAAAGTTAACATATTTATTAAATATTGAAATACCAGACACTTCATACACATTACCCATTTGATCTTCACAACAGCCCGGCAAGGTAGATGCTTTATTATCCTGATTTTGCAGTTGAGAAAACTGAAGCTCAGAAAAAAGGTTTGGAAAATTGTCTAATATTATACAAATAGTATTCATGGAGGCAAAATTTGGATCCAGATTTTCTCACTTAGTGTCTATATGCTTAAAAACTGGGCCACAGGGTCAACTAAAGTATTTGGTAAGGGATAGCAATATTTAATAGGGTTTAGGAGTAGCCTGTGTAATGCACATTGAGATCCATCCTTTTTGGGTCCAGTCATCTTCCATATTAACACAGATCTTGGGATTCTCAGGATTCCCAGGTGGAAAGGCAGAAATATCCCTTAATGAGTTAGTCATGGGGAAGCTGAAGTCAAGAGCTCTACCCCTCCTGCACTATCAAATGTAGTCTGATAAATAGGAAAACACTGAGAACAATAGCTGGCACTAACAAAGACTTAGAATGAATTAAAAAATGGCAACTTCGGTGGCCCAGTCAGTTAAACGTCTGACTCAATTCCAGCTCAGGTCTTGATCTCAGGGTCATGAGTACAAGCCCTACATTGGGCTCCATGCTGGGCATGGAGCCTACTTAAGGAAAAAAAAAAAAAAGAAAAATTGGGTACAAATTGCAAAAATAAACCCCCTTCTGCATACGGCTGTTAGGAAAAGTTGCCCTTTCATCAGGCATGATTGCCTTGGTTGGAGGACACGTTGGTTTGTTAATTGACTTAATGTTGGTTTGCTTGATTAATTTGTTTTAGCAGGAAAAGAATTTATGGAAGGATATTAGGCCGCTGAAAACCTCAAGGAGAACCTGTAAGGTATACTCAGAAGCTTTGCAGGCCAAAACAGTGCCCAACCACACTGGCGTTACTATTTTAGTAAAGAACCACTGTTAGTGGCTCAGCATTGATGATCCTGGAATTAGATATTAGGAGCTGTGCTATTGCTGGCCAGGTACAGCAGGACATCTCTGCCATCATAATCACCAAAACTGAGGTTTATGTAATTTTTAATTTGTCTTCATTTTAGTGTTTTTTGACTATTCTCGTTTTCTACCTTTTTGCTGACATTTTGAGATTTTTAAGCTCTTATTTTTAGGATTTTTTTTTTTTTTGAAGAATTGTAAGCTGAAGACCTGGGTGTACTGAATCACAGACTTCTCTTGATCAGCGTAATTTTTATCTCCAGTTTTAGTTTGATTCTACTATAGCAAACTTTTCATAGCTATGATTTTGTTGTCAAAGCTAAAAGGGCTTTGAATGAGCACAGGTTTATATACCTTGAGTTTAATGTTTAGTTGCTGAAATCCGAAGTTTGAAAGAGCTTCTTTCTCTTCATTTCTCCATAATTACCCATTTATTCAAGTTTAACTTATAATTTGTTCATTTAAAAGTAGATGTTTAAAACTACTTGGGAACAACTTTACAGTTTTAGGGAAAATAATCTCTTACTGAAAACATTGCCTAAGGCTTTGTCAGTGATGAATAGAATGTTTTAACTTGCAATAACTATTCTTAAAATTTCAGCTTCAATGAGGTATAACTGACATATAAAATTGTAACATACATAAAGTATACATCATGATGATTTGATATAGATCGGGAAAGGATTCCCACCATCTAATTAATTAACATGCCTATCATTTCACATATTTATTTATTTTTTGGTGAGAACATTTAAATTCTCTCTTAGCAAATTTCAGTTACACATTACAATGTTATCAATGATAGTCATCATGTTTTACATTAGATTCTCAGAACATACTCATAGCCGAAAGTTTGTACCCTTTTACAAACCTTTCCCTATTTTTCCTACTCCCCAGCTCCTGGCTACCACCTTTCTATTCTGTTTGTATAACTTCTATTTTACTTTTTAAAAAGATTCCACATATAAGTGATACCATGCAGTGTTTTTCTTTCTCTGTCTGGCTTAGTTCACTTCACGCAATGCCTCCATTCATGTTGTTGCAAATGGCAGGAATTCCATTTTTCTCATAGCTGAATAATATTCCATTGTGTATATATATACCACATCTTTATCCATTCATCCACTGACAAGACACTTAACGTTGTTTCCCTATTTTCACTATCGTAAATAATGCTGAAATGAACATAAGAGTGCAGACAGTCCTTCAATATACTGTTTCATTTCTTTTGAATATATACCCAGAAGTGAGGTTGTTAGATTACATGGTAGTTCTATTTTTAATTTTTGAGGAACCTCCTGCATATTAAGGGCAAGATAGCTGGTTTGTAGAAGCACACCCTGAATGCCCCTGTTAATCATTATCTTGAGAATGTATAGATCCCGTGCATCTTCTCTGTTATTTTCCACAAGCAAGATAGGTAGAAAATGTGCTGTTCAGCATTTCAGGTCAAGGGCTCCAGGGTTGGCCAACCCAGAGTATCTCCTTGGTAATGCAGAATGTCCAGGTGGTGGGCTTTTATCTCTTTGGAACATTTGCCATGCAAGGAGGGGCAAAGCTACAGAGAATTGCTAGGATAATTACTACACTATAAAAGTTTGCTGCATTTAGTTTCCAGCCGCAGATGCTTTGTTCAGTTGGCCACTCCTGGACTCCCTGTACTTAAGTTCTCCCAATAAACCTAGGTCTCGATCGCTGTCTTTGGGTCATTCCTTTGTTCTTGCTGGGTCATCACCCACACTTGGCTGAGAGTCTACAGAAATGTGGCTACACACCTCCATATTGTTTTCCATAATGGCTGCAGCAATTTACATTCCTACCAACAGTACATAAGGGATCCCTTTTCTTCACACCGTCCTTAACACTTGTAATTTCTTTTTGATGATAACCACTGTAAAAGGTATGAGTGATAGCTCATTGTGGTTTTGATTTGCATTTCTCTGATGATTAGTGATGTTGAGCACATTTTCATGTAACTGTTCACCATTTGTATGTTGTCTTTGGAAAAGTGTCTATTTAGTTCCTCTGCCCATTTTTTTAAATTTTATTATGTTATGTAAATCACCATACATTACATCATTAGTTTTTGATGTAGTGTTACATGATTCATTGTTTGTGAATAACACTCAGTGCTCCATTCAATGCGTGCCCTCTTTAATACCCATTACCAGGATAACCCACCCCCCTCCCCTCTAGAACTCTCAGTTTCTTTCTCAGAGTCCATAATCTCTCATGGTTCGTCTCCCCCTCTGATTTCCCCCCCTTCATTTTTCCCTTCCTGCTATCTTCTTTTTTTTTTTTTTTAAACATATAATGTATTATTTGTTTCAGAGGTACAGGTCTGTGATTCATCAGTCTTACACAATTCACAGCGCTCACCATAGCACATACCGTCCCCAGTGTCTATCACCCAGCCACCCCATCCCTCCCACCCCCACCACTCCAGCAACCCTCAGTTTGTTTCCTGAGATTAAGAATTCCTCATATCAGTGAAATCATATGATACATGTCTTTCTCTGACTGACTTATTTCGCTCAGCATAATACCCTCCCGTTCCATCCATCGTTGCAATGGCAAGATTTCATTCCTTTTGATGGCTGCATAATATTCCATTGTATATATACACCACATCTTCTTTATCCATTCATCTGTTGATGGACATTTTGGCTCTTTCTGTAGTTTGGCTATTGTGGACCTTGCTGCTATAAACATTGGGGTGCACATACCCCTTCAGATCCCTACATTTC